GACTCTAAAACTTCAGAACTAGCACAATATGCAACATCACCAAGCGCTCAATCAGTGACATCTGAGTCTTAAGTTCGGTCAAAAATGGGGTGTCTACAGTTGCCCCTCTTTGACAAAACTCGAAAGTCATGCGTGACGGGAGTGAATGTCAAAGCCCAGAGACGACCCATTTTTGACAAGGCCGAAGACTTAGACAAAACAGGCGAGATAAACAGAGATGCCCCCGCAGGCGTGCCTGCAGGCAGGGGCAAAATGCAACCGACAATGCAAGAAGCCGAAGGTATTTCAATGATTATGCAAATGCAGCAAGCTGTAACGAAGCAAATATACGCTATAAATGCAACAGTTTTAAGCAAGAATACAAAGCAAACTACATTACATGTAGAAAGGATATAAGAAGATTATGCAATCTTAGCGAGCATCTGTGATAGATACACAAAAGTGAAGAGAGTGTGATGGATACAATATATGAATAAAGTGTGATTGATATACTAAGTGAAGCGAAGTGTGATAGATACACAAAGCGAAACGAGTGTGATGGATACACTATGTGAAGTAAAGCATGATGGATATACAAAAAGTGAACGCAAAGTATGATAGATGCACTAAGTGAACAGAGTGTGATTGATACACTGAAGGTGAACACAAAGTGTGATAGATGCACTATGTGAACAGAGTATGATTGATATACTAAATGTGAACACGAAGTGTGATAGATGCACTTAGTGAACAAAGTATGATTGATATACTAAATGTGAACACAAAGTGTAATAGATGCACTATGTGAACAGAGTATGATTGATATACTAAATATGAACACGAAGTGTGATAGATGCACTTAGTGAACGAGTGTAATGGATACACTAAATGAACACGAAGTGTGATAGATGCACTTAGTGAACAGAGTATGATTGATATACTAAATGAATGAAGTGTAATTGATACACTAAATGTAAACACGAAGTGTGATAGATGCACTTAGTGAACAGAGTATGATAGATATACTGAAAATGAACACAAAGTGTGAATAGATACACTATGTGAACAGAGTATGATTGATATACTAAATATGAGCACGAAGTGTGATAGATGCACTATGTGAACAGAGTATGATTGATATACTAAATG